AAAGTTTTCAAATTCATTAGTATCTTTATGAAAATTAAACTAATACAGAAGTTTAAAAGCTGAACATTTCAAAATGCTATTATATTAAAAAAAACCCAACAACAAACAAACCAGAGATCTCACATCCACTGGTCACTGTGGATTGCCATATTTAACAGCTATAATCCTTAAAACAAAAGCAGCCCCAGAAGCAAGTGCTTGAACACTGCAGGAGCACTTACCACACTCTGCCCAAAAAAATAAGAAGTCTCAGGGGCATCTTATCAATGTTCATGAATAATTGATGGAAGGGTGTAAAGAAGAGGGAGCCTGACTCTTCTCAGTGGTGCCCAATGGGCACAAACTGAGACACAGCGTATTCTGTCTAAACATAAGAAAGCAGTTTTACCGCACGGGTGTTTTAATACTAGAGAAAGTTGTCCGGAGAGGTTGTGGAGTCTCCAGTCTTGGAAATTTCCAACACCTTACTGGACAGTCCTGAGCAATCTGTTCTAGCTGACCTTGTTTGAGCAGGGGTGAGGGTGGACTAAGTGACCTTCAGTAGTGCCTGCCAACCTCAACTACTGTCATTGTGTGGTCTCATCAGTGCTGAGTTGAGGGGACTAATCACCCTCCTCAACCCATTGGCAATGCTCTTTCTAAGGCATACCGTTGGCCTTCTCTGCTGCAAGGGCACATTGCTGCCTCATGCTCAACTTCTTTTCCAAAAGGAGCCCCAGGTCCTCTTACTGCAAAACTGCTTCCCAGCCAGTTGGCCACCAGTCTGCATTGGTCCATGGGGTTTTTAATCCCCAGAAGCGGGACTTCACATTTGCCTCTGTTGAACTTCATGAGGTACCTGTCTGCCCGTTTCTCCAGTGTATCAAGGGCCCTCTGAATGGGGACCCTTTGGTGTATGAGCCACTCCTCCCAGTTTTGCATCATCAGCAAACTTGGTGAGGGTGCACTCTGTCCCATCATCCAGGTCATTAATAAAAACGCTAAACATTGGCCCAAGTATCGACCCCTGGGGTACACCACTAGTAACTAGCCTCTGGGTGGACTTCATGCCACTGATGACAAGGCTCTGAGCCCATCAGTTCACCTGGTTTTCAGTCCACCTCACTGTCCACTTACCTCATCCGTACTTCATCAGTTTGTCAATGAGGATGCTATAGGAGACAGTGTCAAGGGCCTCACTGAAGTCAAGATAAATAACATCCACTGCTCTCCTCTCGTGCACTGAGCTACTCATCTCATTGCAGAAGGCTATCAGGTTGGTAAGGTGCAAATCCACGCTGGCTACCCTTAATCACCTTCTTGTCCTTTATACAGTTTGCTCCATCCTCTTCCAGGGAATCAAGGTGGGGCTGACCAGACAGGAGTTCTTCTTGCTCTTCTTCAAGACAGTGATGTTTGTTTTCTTCCAACAAGTTCGTTTGCGGTTCATTTTCCTTAAGCTCACTGAAATTGTCTTCCGCTCTGTTCTCAGCTATTGTGACTCTCCCCCATGCCCCTTCCTGCTCATTAATGAGAGTTACTAGCTCTTTTCTGCATCTGCTTAAGTGCCCCTTCTACAAGCTCCTAGCTACCACATTTCCTCTTCTTCTGCCCAGTTCTCCGCTCCTTCTTTTCCCCCGTCCTGGTGATCCTGGAACTCACTGCAGGTATTGCTTTCTCACACAATTTCGTTACTAAGTTTTATTTGTCAGTTTTCAAATGGTATCCATCAGGATTTCAATATCTATGTTAAATTTACTAAAATACTAGTACGTTACTTCTGCTGTGCAGCAGCTGTCTCCCCTTCTCAGAGTCTGACTACAGACATGTAAATTATGACAATCCAGTTATGCCTGCTTTTCCTATTAGGACATAAATCATCTGTTGTTACTTACTATAATAAAAATAAAATTCCTATACTCCTCACATTTTAGAGCAGACTACAGTCTTCATTTCTTCCACAAATTACTTTCTATCTTAATCACCTGGCATGCTCCTCAGAAACAGAATGAAAATTTTCCATTTCTACACAGTTCAAACCCTGTTCTATTTGGCAGAAATCTTTTAAGAACCAGAGAAATATAATAAACTGTAAAAAGATAAGATTTTGGTTCTAGCCCTTCCCCATAAATGAAATCTAACACAGACTAACTCCACCCCCTGTATCCAAAGTATCTCTCTTCACCGCTACAAAAGCCCAATGGTATCAGACATCAGCTATTCCATGGCTGGTCACTAACATTTAATACCTTATTATCTTCCCTTCCTTGTAAGCAGTAATTCTCAGTCTGTTTGGCCACAGATAACTCCAGCCTAGGTGCACCACTGAAAGGAAACGCACTGCAGGTATTTCCCTGCAGCCCATAGAGCAGACCACAGTGGAGCAGGTATTGTCCTGCAGCCCATGGAGAGGTCCATGCCAGAGCAGATATCCACACTATAGTCTCTGGAGGACCCAAATCAGACCAGGTGGACATACCCTGAAAGAAATGTGGCCCACAGAGGACCCATGCTAGACTAGGTTTATCCTGAAGGACTGCAGCCAGTGGAAGGAGCCATGCTAGAGCAGTGGAAAAGTGTGAGGAGGAAGGTGAAGCAGAGAGAAACTGTTACGAACTGACCATAACTCCCCATTCCCCATCCCCCTGTGCCACTGGGCAGAAGGAAGGAGGCTGGCAATAAAGGAGTGAAGTTAAGCCTCAGAAAAAAGAAGGGGGATAAGGTATTTTATTTTTTGTCTGCTTCTCACCATCTAAATCTATTTTAACTGGCAATAAACTAAATCTTCCCCAAGTCACATCTATTTTGCCTGTGACAGTAATTGGTAAGCAATCTCCCTTGTCTTTATCTCAATCCATGACCTTTTTCACCTTATTTTCTCCCCTGTTCCATTGAATAGGGGTAGTAAGAGAGTAGCTGGGTGGGTATATGGCAGCCAGCCGAGGCCAACCCACCACAGCCTCTCAAGAGAATTTCCCATATTCAAACTTGTGTCCTCTGCCTCTCATCTTAGTACCATGTACCTCTGAGAAGTGCTCAGGCACATCAGAAGGCTCCATCTTCTCTGTACCCTCTGCTCAGGCAGTTGTAAATATCAGTAACATCTGTCTTCTGCTTTCTCTCTGTCTCTTCCCCAGTATGAAGACACACAATTCTCCCAGTATGTCATAGTGTCACATGCCTCAGCCCTCTGATGAGCATGGGTAGCTTCCACCAGACTTCCTCCATTGCAGTACTCCATTTCTTGTACTACAGAGAGCAGACATGACCTCACAGGTGCCAAATATTAGGGAAGAATGGCTACCCTCTTACTAATACCACCCCAGGAGATGGTTGGCCTTTGCCACGAAGTGCAACTTGTTTTCCACAAGCAGTACCAGGTCCTTTTCTGCTCAGGTGATTCCTGGCTGGTCAGCCCCCAACCTCTACTGGTGCGTAAGGGTTATTCCTCCCCAAGTATTGGACTTTGCAATTCTCTTTGCTGAAGTTCATGCAGTTACCTGTCAGCCCATTTCTCCAGCATATCCACATCCCTCAGAGCAGCAAACCTGTCTTTCAGGACATTGACTGCTTCCCTCACCTTGGGTGGTGGTGTCATTCTATTGTCCAGCTGCTTCTTGCTTCCATTCATTTGAGAAGAATCTAGTGCTGATTTAGCAAGCACTAGATACATTGAACAGAGCAAAGTATACAGCAGTTTGTACAGTACTCACTGGAATCCTAAGCCTTTATACTGCACTTGCTTGTAGGAAGGCTTTGAAAACAAAATCAAGAGAACCAAGATGAAGAACAGAGACAACAGTTTACCCTGATTCCTTCTGTGATCAGGGAAGCTGGATTAAATGCTTCAGTGGACCAAAACTCTTTACCCCTAAGTAGTTTACCTCAGTTACAGCGGGCTCAGAACCAAGACAACTATCTTCGTACATAGTAATAACAAAAGCCAGCAGAAGGGACAGAGCTGGGTGATAAAGGGGAAAACCCCTTCCACTTGCTCACATATTTTAACAACCTGGTCACCACAGTAAGCAGCTGTTATCTTCTGTGAGGAAATGCGAGAGACCATGGGAGTGTGAGCACAACTGAACACTTGATCTCACTCCTTCCCCTTTTACCTATAAAAAATAGTAAGAAAAGCAAGTATAATTTTACACGGTAGATTTTTTTTACTAGACTTCAAACCCCATTTCATTATCAGTAGCTAGATGCAACTCTTGCACTCAAAAGCTAGCCTTCTCTTGTAATAATTAGAGATCTCAGTGTTGGTTTATCAAAGATGGTAAATTCCTCAAAAGTGCTTCTGGTTCGTGATTAAAGATTCTATAGCTGAAAGCTCTATACAGCTTAGATTCACTGTACTGGTATTTTCAGTTAGTGACCAAATTAGAAAAAAAGTCCAGTGGTTACAGTAGTTCAAATACTAATTTTGACAAATCAGTGCTCTTCCAGTCTCAGTCTTAATTCAAGTCAGTTTTAAAAGATACTGCAGTTTTTACTACATATTTAGCAACTGGAATATGTAGAATACTTGCAATAGCTGTGATAACTGCTTCTGAAATAAACAACCCCTCTCTATACACATTAAAAGGAAGCTGTCGTATTCCCTGTATGGTAGAAAGGATGCTGCCAAAAAAAAAAGTGAGCATCTAATAGTACAGTATTCGAAGCCATAAAGTAGTTCCAAGCCTCAACAGATTGAAAAGAACAAAGAATTATCAAAAAATCCCAGATCAGCCCAGCTCGTTAGCATCCCAGGTTACTCCCATCTTCCCAATAATCGTCTCTTTTCCCCAGAGTCACGAAGATATAAACATGAAAAACATAGGTTTGGTGGCCAAACAAAATACCTGAGCATTTTCTGCACAAAGCAAAAAGAAATACCTGCATCTCTTTAAAGTATCTGTGGTGAAGTCAATTGTATTTCTGTACCACTGCATGCAGGATGCAGCATTGGTTTTAAGACTTAATACATTGCTTCAGGTTAGACAGAGGTATCTACAGTTATATGTGGTACAAAAAAGTGACACGTTTGCACAGGTATATTTATTTTTTCCTGTGTTTACAGTGCTTCAGTTGTTAATTTTAAACCATTCAGAAAGCACAATTTCATACCAATTTTACATACTTTACATCACAGTTTAACATTAACACAATTGTATCTACTAAATCAAATGAACAAAATGGCCATGAACATTTACACTATTCTTCTGTAAACAAGTTTTTTTATAAACATTGGTAAATGGAATTAACACAGACCACCATATGAAAGAGGAATGAGCTTTTCCTTAAATAAATCACTCTGTTTATAAATACTTCAATTCTCTCAATATACATTTACAGACATAATTGATTAAAAGCAGATTACCTACACTGTTCTTTAAAAAGAAAATGTCTAGAGATGGACCACTGTGTGTTAAACTCACCTAACATAAGAAGCAAGCATATGATTAGCAGAGTGTTAAAAGTATTACGGTACTTCAACCTTACTTCTGTTTGTTTACACCAACACTGAGAAGATTGTCATGTTAGGGAACTTTTACTTGAATTCGAGCAAATTACAATCGATCTTGTAGTACACATACGGGTAGTACTCCTGCTGACTGAGGTTTAAGCCTGGAATATCCATAGTCGCCTGCAAATAAAGTTTTGAAACCAGTTATACTCTTACAGTTCAGAAGTAGATGAAACATTCATATGTTTTAGAAGCAAATAGGCCAGGCTAGACTTCAAGCTTAAATTTTCACATTCAAGAGACTGCTTAAGCAACAAAGTTAGAATTTTGACAAATGAGTAACAGTATTTTTCAAAATTAAATACAAGTGCTTTTTCAAAAATCTAAGTAGTTTTGTATCAATAATTCAAATCTGTTGCTATAGTAAACACCGCCACTAAATGGAAGGAAAAGTACTGCAATTCTGTTTTACTACTTCTAAACACAGACAGTTTATGAAAAGAATGTTATAGGATGGTGAATGATCCAGGAAGTTACATGAAGTTCTGCACCTTTAATTTTCACATTAATTCTCTCACATCCCCTTTCCCCAAAAAGGCCTGGAAATACTTTGGAAAAATATTACATGAAATATAACATTAAGAAAGATTTAAAATAATCTTTTTAAATTCAGATAAACTCACTGTGTGGTCTATCTTTTGTTCATCTTTAACTATGAAAAGCACTACTTTTCAATACAAAACAAGTTATTAGAATAAGCCTCCCAGCAAACCAGTTTTAAACATGAAAATGAAACCTCTACAGATGGAAAGGATGACTCCATCTTGGCATCAATTTGGCCTCCTTCAGCAAAGAAGGGCAACTATGTTAACTTAAAAACAAAGACAGCAATGCAACAAAAAAAAAAGTTTTTTCAGTATTAAGGCCACTGTTACTGTAGACTGAGGACAATTTATGTATTCCTTCTGGGCTCGAAAAAGGTATGAAACATGTTCAAGTTCCTTAAGCCTAGTTTCAGATCAAAGTTGACTTTGTTTGAATTCTTTGAAGATATGAGTATGTATACAGTCTACGATATCTTTCCATCAGTAGTAGGAAAGAATGCAGTAAGAAGAAAACATGATACTTTTATACCAGACGGCTTGTCAAATGCATTGGTTGCAACTTTAAATACCATCTGCTTTGCAAAAATGTACAACAGAAGTGGCATTTTTATAAGGAGACATTATTTTCTGTACTGTGAAAGAATGATGGAGAATATGGAGAGATATACCTTTTTAATAAATCCAATAGACTGGTTTTTGTTTAAACAGATTAAACTTAATATTGAAGGCCAGTAGCAGTTACAAAAATACTTACATCAATGATAGCTGCTGCACTGCTGTCAAGGTGCTTGTATAAGTCATACAAAACCTCCCTCAGTTTCTTCATTGTTTTCTTATTAGGCTGAAGCAGCATTGCCTGGAAGTTAACTGGCAAACCATACCTGAGGAAGTCAAGCAGAAAACGACAAAAATGCTGGAATAAGCCTTATTATATCTTTAAAAGCAGAATCTTATTTTATTTTGAGAAAGAATCCTATTGCTGAAGAGGAAATTCTGCTCATTTTTATTTTTGCAAGACCATTCTCTTTCTACACTTCATAAGGCATCAGTAAAGTAGAACTTCTTTCTTCAAGTTTAAAATAACAAAACAGAAGTCTAAATGCTTTTAAAATCATTTTAAATCCTTGAGTACTTAGCACAATTCTCAAAGTTACCTGAAGTCTCGGACTAAGTTTTGAACATTCCAGTTAGTTTACTTGCAAGACTTTGCTTATGCCACTAGGTGGAGAATCTAGTCTCTACTAGGTGTATGGAAACATTTGCCAATATTCAAATCAAGCTCAGCTTTCTTCCTTACTCAAGTTTGTCTTCAAAATAAGCTAGTAGCAGCTATGAAACAGACTAGAATGCAATCTAATGTGATTTTTTTTCTTCTTTCTCTCCTCTGGTTGTGTCCTTTATGATAATTTATCAAAAAGGCTAAAAAAACCCTTTCTGTTTCCTGACTAAGGCAGAAGTCCTTTCAACTCTAAAAAGAAAATCCAGGTCCCTCCTTCTGCAGAACAACTACAGCTGTTCTTAAGCCAACTTAGTAACTATACTTCTGGATAGGTATGAAGAAAAAAGCAGAGAAATTTTATAGTTAGAATATTGAACAATTTAATTCTGAAAAGTTTAGACTACAAAATTCTTAAGAAAGGCATGTTTTAAAGAAAAAGCATACATTGCAAGATGTCAAGCTATATTACTCAAAGCCTGAATACTTTTTATTCTGAACTATTCACATTTCCCACTTAAATAGAAGATACAGCAAGCTCTTTTTACAAGCAGCTCATAAAGCAAGCTAAGAATCAGCAGAAATGCCTTGCTGCAATTTACAGAGTACCTGTAATTCCTAAAGCACTGGTGGAAAGACTGTACAAGGGGCAAGATACACAATTATCTACCTCAAATATTCCACAACTGGCAACAAGAGCCATTGCCATCAACTATTCTTACTGTCCTATTTCTTGACTCCTGCTTCCCGGAAGAGTGGCATTCACACACCTCAGTTTGGTAAGCCCAAGCCAGATGTAAATTCTTACGAAGTCTAGGAAAAAAAAGCACTATTCAGGTCTGCCTCATTACCTTAAAACAGATTCAACAAAAACTCGTAGTGCTTTCACATGAATCCATGCAATGAAAGCTTCACTGAAATTAACTTTCAGCCACCGAACCAGAGGACCCTGTGAAAGGGAAGGGGGGAAAAAAAAAATTATGTTATTCAAAATTCAGAAAAAAATTCAGCCCATTAAGCATGTTTGAGCAGATACTCAGTATCTGTACCATGATAACAAAGACAGCTTAAAGGCAGAGTTCACTATAGTCATAATGGCTCAAGGGTGTTTCAATACTAAGTAAAGAGAAATTTAATGAGATTTCTGTTGTCTCTTCAGTACACCATCTCAGCTGCCGTGGGCTAACTGTATTAAGGACCATTTTAGTAATATCTGATTATTTCATTCAAATACTTGTCTGTTTTCAAACTTAATATATTATCAGCTGGAATATCAGCACTTGGTTGAACACAGTGAGGAGCATTTGTGCTACAGGAAACTCAGTTATCCCTGAGCAGACTAGCTCGCTGGCAGGCTGACCATATCATGTCATTCTTGCAATGCTTTCTCAGAATCACAAGTTCATGAAATTGTTACGTAGCAATAACAAGTCTTAGATGTCTCATGTTTCTATAATGACTAGTTTATACAGACTTACAAACTGTTTCTTCTTGTCAGTTGACAGTCTATTCATTTCTTCTTTATCCGCTTTCATCTCTTCTTCATTATACTGGAAGTCACGGACCATAAATCTGCATTTGGAAGTGAATAAAATCAAAAGTGGCTATCTAAAATCCTTCAAAGCATGAGAGACAGAACACACACAAAATAAGCCTTACTTAAATTCCCTGGCTTTATGCTTGAAGTCATCCACTGCCTTCCTGAACAAGGTGACGTTACAAAGATAACTGTCTTGATCCTCGAAGAGTACACTACACAGGAAAAAAAAAGTGTCAGAATTAATAATATTCAAGTCACCACAGATCTGATATACAGTAGATTAAGTTGTACTTTATTGCTACTAGGCAAGAACTAGGCAAGAACATTAATGTAGATAATCACATGGGATTACTTCCCAAATTAAACACTTTATACAGAATGTAACTGAAACTTTAGCGACTGCTCTTATTACTCCCTTTGTAAAGGATGGCAGTTTCCGTTTTGTATTCAGAGACTTTACCACTCAAAACCACTTCATACATGTCTGGCTATTTGTTCAAGTTAAAATTATTTTACAGAAAAAGGAACTAAAACGGGTTTAATACTGAAAAGTTTGGGCTACAGAGTTCTTACAAATGCATGTTTTAAAGAAAGAGGAAATGGATTTAAAATAGAAAAGAACACAAATTAAAAGGACATAGCTTGGTAAGAAAAAGTGTTTCTTAAGCTGTAAAGATGACCCCTAGATTGATTATTTTATAGTTCAAGACAACACTGCTTATTTTGAGACATCACCTTAGGAAAAAAGCTTGCAGAGATTTAGACTGTTCCACAGCGTCATATTGTCTTCAATACAAGCATTATCCAACAGTTTAACAAGTCAACTCTTAAGCTATCCCTAGATCATGGTTTCCCAATAATTCAATAAGAATCATTAGCAGATCTCCACTAGGCTTAAGTTGATCCAACTCAAATGTGAAGTTAGCCAGAGCAAGTTCAGATTTTATAACTGGCATAGAGCTGGTAATATCAGATCTACCTGATCAAACCCTTACTCTGTCAGTTAAAATTAACAACATAGCAATGCTTTGTGCTACATGTTGACTTTATTTTCAGCGTGCTTACAAGATTGCTTAAGTGGCTTAACAGTACTATCAAATCCTGGCCTCAAGTCTTGCCCATCACAGACACCAAGCACCAGCGTGGCACCGAGGACCTTTGTGAGCCCGATAGAGACAAGTTACTTTTCTTTGCACACAAGAAAACCATGTACACTTCCAGTTCTTCATTCTTTAGCAGCTTTCAAAGAGCTTATGTAACTTGTTTCAAGTCCTCTGAGTACAGGCATAAAGCCTACAGGCTAGCAGCTAGTATTTGTTGCTAAAACCCACCATTCACTAACTGGAAGCTGAATGTGCCTAACCTGGACTAGATTGACTTTTCAATTCTTTTACTCTTCCCACATAAGTTAATTTTATAACTTTAACCCTAGAGTTAGAGATCCTTTGACTTTTTCCTCAACTACAACATAATCAAGCTTGATCAGATATAAAGCTAGACATTTTGACAAGTTTTTGACCAATCTTTAAAATTCAAAGTGACTATAGATAAAGAATACTTATAAAATATAATACATGGAAATATGAGATTTAGCATTTAACAACTTACTTGCTGGAACGTGGTACAACCATCTCTGCTAGTGTTTCATATTGCTTAACCCAGTCATTATAATTTAACCTAGAGAATACACAGGTTATAGTCAGACTTTCAGTACTGTAGTAAGAAATCTTAGCTTAATGGATCAATTTAAAAAAAAAGTTAAAAACTTTTAATCATCACATCTTCCAACCCAGGTGTAGGTTGTCAGAAATAAACAAGACATCAGGGACAGTCCTCCTCATGCTGTTTTTAAGATTATTGCTAAATAAACTATAATGATAGCAAAAGCAACATATTTTATCTTCAGTCTTTATAAGTTTACAAGTGTAAAATTTTTGAAATCAAAGAACTATGAAATTAAATTAGTCATCATTAAGTACAGATCTCAGGGGACCAAATGGACTTAACTGTCAAGATTTATCAGAAACTCCTTATGTAACTCTGCTCTTCTGAGTTACTAATAGGAATACTTTTTCCACAATTACAAACGGGTTCCCCAGAGTCCTGCACTTTCCTGAAGGACCACTGAGAATTTTGGAAGCCCTACCTTTCTGTAGTTGAAGAGGTTCCACCCTTTCAAAACCAAAAACAAGTCAAAGGTAAAAGAAACAAACAAACAAACAAAAAAAACAGTCGAGAGATACTAACGACCTGTTTTCTGCTAAAGCCACTGCAAAACTGTTTTGCATCACCAGAGTTTTACATGTGACAGAGACTACTGCTTCAAGTGATAACCAGCCTACTGGTTCTCTTTACAAGTTAGAAGCTCTGTTTGTTCCCAGCTCCAGAAAGACAGTCTAGTGCCATTTTCTCATTTTACAAGAGTCTTAAGGACATCTATATCACCACTTTCCTTGGCCAGGGGAAAAGGTGGATTTTCTGTTTTTTGAACATTTCAGAGAGAAACAACCTGTTCCCAGCAAACCTTTGCCATGACATAAGCAGTGTTCCATTGGTAGAGACTTAGATAAGGAAAAAAGCATTGTTCTGGCAATCTGAAAAAGTGCAGAGCAAAGAAGTAGAGTTCACTTTGCTCACTAAGTGGTGAAAGCCAGCATAGCCCTAACCAGGATAATTCAATCACTATGCCTTCTAATGCAAAACAAGTCATGTTTTTACTCAGTACTTATTATTTTCATAAGGACACCTTCTGCAACATGACTAGCCATGGCTAATATTACATAAGAGACATAAGTCCAATCTCCAGTTTCTTAAAGAGATTCAGGAGCACTCAGCATTCCTTATGATGAGTTATCATGAACAATGGAATACAGGTACACAGGCTCATTTGCCTCTACTAAGCATCCAAAAGTTTGCATTAGTTCATCCAGGGAAAACCCAAACAAATTCAGATGTCCTTTCTCACAATATTATAAGGTTGTGGTATCTATTATTTGATTTAAATTTCTTATTTTATTCTGATCTTAGGACAAACAATAAACTTACTTCGGTACAATCACTAATAACGTGACCAAATATTCTGAATCAAGTACAAAGTCCTCTTTCTTTACAATATCGGCAAGGCTTCTGGTTAGCAAGCTTCCCCTGCAGAGAGACAGACAGAGTAAATACATGTTTAAGAATTGAATTCATCTAGACAACAGTTTCCAATGCTTGACAGCATAACATTTTCAAAAACATATTTTACTTAAGCATTCACTATTAGCAGAGCAAACTAAATGTCCTTCTATGCATTTTATATCTTAAAGTCACTTAAAGTTTTTATCAGTAGCTCCACTGCTGTGTGTCATTTCCATATTCCAAATACCTCACACACTTAAGAAGCCAAGTTCTCTTTTCAAAAGTAATTTAAAACCACAAGAACCATTAAAATCATTAATTGTGAAGTCTAGTATATGAAGCCTCAGAGTTACAACTGACCTAGTACAGACCTACATACAGAACCTCAATAAAAATTTAAAGCGGCATATTGCCTCCTATTTACAAAAGACTAAGAACATACACAGATTTAATGGGGTTTAGCTAACAAATTACCACGGCTGAAGATGAAACTTAAGGCTGACTCAAAATGGCTATTATTAGTATGACCCATGGTTCTGAATCAGCTAGCAAGCTTGTACCATTAACTGTAATGGTAGGGTTGGGTCAAATTAATCAACCATATTTGCACGGAACTACTGTACCTCAGCTGTATTTCAGATAATCATCACATGTACATGACAAGACAGCACGCAGTCCTTGTTTAATTTATTATATGCATGTATGCAATAGCTGTCTCTCTGCTGGTTAATTTTGAGGGAAGAAACCCAGTAATATTGATATGCTTAAAGCACAAATTGGAGTGAAAGGAAAGAATTCCTTGTTTAGACAGACACCCAAGTAGCAGTGTTACACACCACTTTAACAGCAAGCTTCTCTCAAAAGCTCCAGCAATTTATACTATTTCTACATGGGTTTGTGTATTTCATAACTGCTTATCAATCAAGTGAGCTATTACCAGCAAGTTGGCTGGTAATAAATGTTCTTTTATGACAGCTGCTATTCAAGATTGATAAACACCTAAAAAAATACATTAAGCTTACAGTCTGTACCTCTTAACACGTTATTAAGTTTTCATGGTTAGATAACTTTCCTGTGCTACATTAGCAAAAAACAATGTGACTCACGCATTCTTTCTTTCCAAATTCTGAAGGTTCCCTTTCAGATTATTGTATGCCGAGGCTCTTGCTTTCAGATCATTGTCAATCTGGTTTACTCCCTTAAAGATAAAAAGAAAAGGAACAGTGTCTAAAGAACTAGAACAGGTTTTAAATGACTTCTCAATTTCAAAACTTAGATCTGCCAACAAGAACTTAATGAAAAATGCACAAGTTAAAATATTTATTTCTCTAGTGCTCGGCAAACCTCACTCAAAGCTCAGAAAACTCTAAAGTTAGAATTCCTTTAAAGGAAAAATCAGCCAATAATAAAAGTTACACATGCTCTTCTGGTATCCTGCTGCATCCCAGCTGATCATTACTCCATCACCTTGAGGCTACCACTCTCCATCTCAGCTGACAGGAGAGATCATTTGAAGTTTACCTTCCTACTGTGATAAAAGTATACTTGTGAACACTGGGTAACATTTCCTCCAGCTGTTACCTCACTTCTCATTATACTTTTCCCCTCACTAGAGTTTCAGTGACAAGAATGATGGTACAGTTTTATGAGTAGCAAATCAAGAATCAAGTAACCCAAAACGCTAATGCTTTGCATCATCTACAACTTAAGAAGACACTCTGTTGCACTTGTGTTTGCCTACTGCAACTTGCACCTTTCCTTGAGATGAACAGCCTTGATCACTCAAAGATAGAATATCAACTAAATGCATCATCTGCCTCATTCCAAATGGCTGTTACTATTTACAGTTCTAAAAATTATCACAAGTATTTTATGTCTCCCCCCCCCCCCCAACAGAGCTATTTCCTATTCTGTATGTTTGCACAGGAAAATACAATAAATTATATCACCATATCCCTTCACAAAGTCATCTTTTATGCTGCTGTTTTACCTTGACAGTGGCTTACAACTATAAAGAAAAATCTGTTTTATAGACTTTCTTAATTTAGTTAAAACTTATGTATTTTGGAATGACTGAAGTTGAACAGGGCCAGTTCCAGGGTAGACAGATAAACAGTATTTCAGACTTGAATCCAATTTCTTTCAGACAATACATACATCTGTTGAGTCAATTAGAGGCAGCATTCTATGTTTAATGTCACTGGCAGCCTTCAATCATCTTTCAAACTTTCATATCAAAGTTCCAACTATTTTAATGTTTAGACTCACTCTCACATTCAGCTTGCCATTGCTACTCAAGTAAGTCATCTTTCTCAAATCCATCTTCAAGGATTAATTAGAATGATTAGCAAAAATTATTTACTCCCAACTAGGTAACCTGGCAGCAAGTGGAAGAACACAAAACAAATTAAGCAATTAGTAGGTCTTAAACATCCAATCATACTCCTGTCAGCGTGTACCCTATACAAGGAAGTATTTTAATAATCAATATACTCAGTAGCAGCTGGAAAACTGAAAGAACATGGTACCTTATTGGTCTGGCATTGGAATGCTGCCTACTCCCTCCTTTACTGCTTCCTCGCTATGGCATGTAGGTACAAGCATATAAAAATAAGCAGGGACAAGTATCTGAATACAGTCAAGGGACTCTCCCTTTATTTGGGCTTAGACCATTGACAAAACGTTTTGTATGCCTACAACTCTTCAGCTTGGGGATCCAGATATGATTTTATTTCCACAAAATTAATCTCTCTTAAAAGCAACATCACTTAGTTATATAGTGACCTTGCTTATGGTAACACATAAGTTCTCTTGTCTGTAGCAGGAAGAAGTCATTAAAAGCCAGAACATTCTGGCAGTTTCATTTGGCAACTTGTTAACGCCTTGCACCTTTACAGATACAGCAATGCTTTAGACAAAATACTCTGAAAATAAGACAATTTACTTTTTAAAACAGATGAGTAGTTAAGGTTATTTAAATTCTTTGACTGATGTAATCTTTTACAAAGCATGTGGAACATTTCAGCAGGTGTCACAAAGCACACATCTTCGTGTAAACTTTTTTATACTACAAGAAGTGGCACTAATTTTTTTTTTTGTACAGCTAGCAGACAGCATTAGGGGAAAAATTAATCAGAAGCTATTAAGCTAGTATCTTTGTGCATGTGGACTTTTTCCCAAACTGACAAACTTCCCCTCCACCTTTTCCAAGGATCAAAACTTTCAACAACAGTCTAACTATGCATTGTTTAATGACAACAAGCAAAAACCATTGATACAAAACACAGCCTTTACGAACCAGTTCTGTTCATAGTTTCCTAATTGCCAATACTCTAATTGCACTCATTTGTAAAGTCAGTAGCCTTTTAAAAGATGACTGCTTAGACAAAAGCCTCTTACTGCTGCACTGGCTGGAGTTTACTGTAAACAAGAATCAGCTTTGCTTCCTATTAAAATGTTAGAGAACACAGAACCGCAAACAATGTCACAGCAGAGCTCTTGAAAATATATTTGTGTAAAACTGCCAAATGAAGTGATAATACAAACTTTCTTTTGGTAGTAGAATTGGTGGATAACTTACAAATGCCATTGCAAAATGAGGCAGGCTCGTGATACTGCTAAAGAAAGTATCAACCTAACATAGTTGGCCTATTTCTACACACAGCAAAACCCAGATATTTAAAGCCCTTACATAGTCATTGGCAATACATGAGTGTCATCTTATAACTATACAATTGAACTGTTGTACTTCACTAGATAGCTGAGTTGCTGAAAATGTTGGACTAGGGCTCTAAGGCTATTGAGGTTGTCTCTTTGCATAACAGTCTTACAACTGTAATTTCAAATACAAAGAATGACTAGATTAAGTGACAGCTCTCACGTGGCACAGGTACCATCTTCGAAGTCTTCAGTATTGACACTGGGGTTCACAATACTTCTGAAAGTTAAAAGCTGAAAAAACTTGATGGATAGTTTCAGTAGATTTCCTTCTATTTTAAACGTTTCCAACACTGCTACTCTGACAAACTCCCCACTGCAGTTGCCATTACTCTCACTTTGGCAGACATCAGAATCTGCTGCTATAATGAGTGAGGAGGATATAAAACCATACAGGAAAAGTAGTATCTCATGATTTGACAAGCTTTTCAAGTTAACATCAACATGTCAAGAGGCTTCACAGATTTTAATTAATGCAGCTGTATCAATTTTCCTATACCTTTATGTTAATCACATGACAAAGTGAAGATTTTAACTGTCAGGACTCTTCAAGTCCTGTGACATTATCTCCTAGGTGTCACTTCTACAAGAACCTAAGTCAGTTTCAGTCATCCTCCTTTTCTCCACTTTATGGACACACATCTGTGGCTCGCAGCTGAAAACATTTTGTAAACTATTTGAAATTAGATTTATTAAATGTGTCCCTGAAGCTGTCCCTATAGAAGACAGGTACAGCGAAACTTGCAAAGAAATGGAAACCCTCAACAGGGTGATTCAGGCTGAACTCCAGCAGACCTGTTTCTCTGCATTTAGTATCCAGCCTAATAACTCAGTGAGGTCCCTAAATTAGATGAAGAATGTAATCCAGTTATTTAATTTAAAGTTCAGGTTTTGGACTACAACTTCGCTGCAAGCAGATGATTTAGCTAGCAATCTCCAGGACACAGCACAACATGCACTGAATCCTTGATAATATTTCAATAAAGGGCATATCCCTTCATGTTCTTTGTTACTTTTTCAACAAACTTAATTGCCACAAAAATAAGTTCTCTACTATGGCAACAGGCAAGTTCCAAAAATGAGACAAAACACAGCTGAAGACTTTTTTCCCCCTTTTTAATTCAGTAACTTTCACTCCTATTCTAAGGCCAAACCAAAGGAAAGGAACTTTTTCACGAACCTCCTTTTAAGACTTGTAGAAATCACTTCTCCCTGTCTTATGTTCTCTCTGTCCCTCTTTCCCCACCAAGTTCCTCTTCTCCCAACTTAAACTTCGTGCCTATACCTGCCAAGTAGCTACAGTAAACAGCTGAATGCTTCATTCTGATACCTTCTTCTGAAGAAGCAAAAGCTTATGTACTTTAGTGTCAGATATTAAGATCATTATTTTATATCTGTGGGAAATTTTTAACATGCAAATCTTAAGAGTCATAAGACAGTCAGTCTTCCTCCAACAAAACTCCACACTGCAGATGTTTTCTAGGAATAGTTGCTAAGTGTAATTTGTGGAGTAAATTCAAGATGCAGTGATAGCCCCAAAGAAAATATCAAAATGAAAGCGTTAGTTGCATTCTCAGTCAGGTATGTATCATATATTAAGATTCTGTAATCTGCAAAAATTTTAAAATAATAGTTTCAGGAAAGAAATTAATATCTAAAGAATCTGCAGTTACAGCAAAGCATGAGTCTGCCAGCACTTACCCCATCCCCACCCCGATTATAGTTCCCACATATCCATCACCAAAGACTATCCCTATAGGTACCCAGAGCAGTTGCTTCTTTTTTCCAGGTTCTGTATTTTATTGACACAGATAATTCCAAGAGCCAGTTTGCAGATTACAGAAAACAGAAAAGAAAAAAGACTGAAAAAGCTGGGAAAATATTACGGCAAATGTAGCTTACAGAGAACTCTTTCACTGTTTGAATACAGTAAGTCATTGCTGAGGACCCTATCTATGCTCACAGCAAGTACAAACCAAATGAAATCCCCAAAGTGCAAAAAACTTTACCAAGGTAGAGGCGGGGGAACACCCGTGACAACACTCAAATAAGCTTTCCTTACATCTAACACTGAAGGCTTATTTTTCCCCTCACAATTGAGTGCCATAGCTTTCAGAAGGTATGTAAGTTCCCTGGTTCACTGCTAACAGCCCACAAAGTTTGAGAACATCAGACAAATGGCATGCCAGTACAGCAAAATTTAAATGTAACATCGTTTGCTAGCTATTTATTTGTTAAGTCAGTGATCTTTGGAAACAAAAATCAGCAAAGACAGCATGATGGCATTCAGGGAGCACTCTCCAAATCCTATTCCCATCCTAATATTCTTTGGTTACTAAAACACAGATGCTGCTACCAGGTTCACTACTGCTGTTATTAAAATTACATGAAGCTAACAAAAACAGACAAATAGCTTTGAGTACCAAGTTTTGTGCATAAATATGTCAAGTTCAAGTAGGAAAGTTTTATAAAACAAATTACCTTACCTTTGCAATAATTTCTGAAATATTCTTCAAGGATTGCTTGATTGGGTATTTGGCCATATCCCACTGGAACCTTGTTATATAGGTGACCAAGTCAACTAAAATTTTAAAGAACTTTATTAAGACAAACAATAAAAAGACTGATGTATTATATTCCATGTAGGATTGGTGTAACAGAAGAGTACTGTAACAAACTGTTTGTGGACCTTCACATGTGTGGACCCTGTTGCTTAAGAAATTTGAAAATAAACAATCAAGTTGTAAGTTATCCCTGACCTCTGCCTTCAGATACTGGTTCCTCCACCTCTGTAGATCCTAAATTATATTTACTACTAAGTCAATAACGGCTGGAGAAGTACAGACAAGACCAACTATTTTTTGCTTTGTGTGAAAAATGGGTGGAAGCAGTGAGGGTTACGATAGAAAAAAAACAGGCAAAGATTATGCGGCTCACCTGAAGCAACTGTTTTGTTGTTTGAAAACAAAATATTGATTTAGAGACCAGCGCAACTCTTAACTATAATAAAATGGACAAATATTTCCATGACACAACTCGTTTTATAAAGACATTCTATCATAATTCGGGAACAACCGAGTATTCCAGCACAGCTTACATAAAATCATACCTATTCAGATGACAGACTAATACAAAGAATGTTTACAGTAATCAGTAATTTTTATGTTCCACCAGAGACCAGTGATGACAAAATACAGCCCTAAAGGATCAAAAGGCTTCTATAAGTGAGTATAACACATAAATCTAATTTCTTACCATTCTGGATCCTGTAATTTGTTTCAGTGCAAGTGACTCACAGAAAAAAGTACTTCCACATCTAAACTAGGCTTTCAGAATGTCATACAGAGAAGCAGCATTCAGTATGTTCCAGGATCATTGCCTTCCCTCCTACACTTTTAGGATGCACATATCATTAACACTTTACCTCCATTAGCCAGAAGATTTTCCTGAACTTTATCTTTACTGTCTTCTAGAACATCAGCCATATACTGGGCCACTTTCTTTACAACACTGAAAAATGAAAGATAAAGATATGAAAAAAATAATTAAAAAACCCTGCCATTTTGAGAAATACCATTTATGAAAGATATCTGAAACTGCCTGAGATTGGATCAAAAAAGGAAGAGCTGATTGCTTTACTCACGAGCTTTTCCAACTTCTAAAATACATGCCAGAACTTTATTTAAATCCTTCTCTAGCGTTGCTACTCAGCTCTCAACAAAGTGAGGCTACTTCCCTCGCCTCCAAGTAACAGGGGTTCACTTCAGGCATAATCTCACTATATTCCAATCTTTTTTTGAAGTCTGTGGTACTTCCAAAATCATAACCCCTTTCTAAAAATAGAGAGTGAGGTAGAAATCGTCAATAATCCAAATTAAACACAAGGCAACCATGACAATGAAACACCAAAGATAACTGAAGAACTATGGAGAAACCCCAGCCCTAAGCCCACATGAGATCTGACACTCAGGACCTGCCTTCCTCATTAGAAAAGCTACATTTAATATCACTCACATGTGCTGTGCCAAATAGTTTCCTTTTCTATTTAAAAACAACTACTTAACACTTCTCTCCTTGAAACAGAAGATGGCTCCACAAGTTCTCATTATATGAAATTTTGTTAACATTTGCTTAAAATCACCTTCAAAGGACCACTAGTTTCTTCAAAATGAATAGGTTTTGCATTTTGATATTAATGCTGTTTAATCATCTCTGTGGATTAGGAAACAATGTGGTTACCTTCTCCAAGTCCGTAAATAGTACTCTAACTTGCTAAAAGAACAGTTTTTACTCCGTTTCATCTTCACTTCTACAGCTGTCAGGCTCAATTCTTAACAGTTCTCCAGGACCCAGCAGCACACAGCACTACTATAGGGAGAACCATCCTTCATCAACGTGTAATGTCCCTCTATTCCACAAGAAGTTCAGATACTAGGAAAAACAGCAGCTTAGCTTTCTGAAATCTTAGATTGCTGACTGCCTGCAGAGGACCACTATGAAACAAAAAAAGCTGGAAATAACCTGTGTATTACTAGGACTCAGCAAACGATCACGCCATTATTCTAATATTTTGCATGCTAGTAAAAATAAACTGTTACCCCTCCACAAATGCATCCAGTTTAGCCAGCTCATCTGACAAACCAACCAAAACATCCAGTGTGCCAACCTAGAATGAAAGATCAAAATGCATTAGCAATAGTATATAAACATAGAAAGATAAAACCAACTTACAATTAAAGCTGAACAGGTACCTTTGCAGAACTACATAAAATACTGCACTCTAAGATTTCAGACTTGCTGATATAACAAAGTCACCCTGTGTTTCATTTGCTCAATATACCCCTAAAGCACTACTGTATCAGATCCAACTCACTCCAGTTTGGTGCAGTTTCAGTCCTGCACGCCAGCCATCTAAAACATGTTAAAACAAATTTTACATTATGAATTGGCTGCATTTCCCACAAGTCGCTTGCTTCAGCATTTGATTTACTACTTTAGATCAAATCTGAAATTTCTGTAATCAGGTATCTCAGTGCTGGAGGCGACTAGAACATGAAAACTTTGAAGATACAAGAGTACTGCAGCAGTTAGACCAGCACGAGCCTGGACTTTTTGCATCTGGAGTAATGGAACATCTAGCTTGTCTACAAGCTTTCACTCTTTCTTCCATAATTTCATGTAATAACCTAGAACAATACATATACCTTTCTGGGACCAGGATGATACCTTTTTAGACTCTGTACAACTCAAACATGAAAATTACAGCACAGTAAAACACTCTGTTTAGCTCTTTCATAAACAAGTCTCAGATGGGTCTAAGACATCAAAAAGGGTAAAACCAGTATAGCTATGCTCAAGTTAAACAGCCAAAGGGTGATTATTTTTAAATAGGTCATATGATATCAGTGTTTCTTTGGTTCTCCCCAAGTACTTACATATTTGTTCATTCTGTTCAATGAAAGTAGGAGATACCTCCAGAAAGACAACTCCTCTTATCTTTAATATTTTAGCTACTAGTTCATATTTCTTGCTGAAATATTATTAGGCATAAGTTAATCATCTTACTAGTCAAGATGCTATTAACATCACTTTTAGTCTAGCATCTTTGTTCTATATATTTGACCACTCAACTTCACATGATTCCTGTTCTCTTTAGCCTTGAAGCAGAAAGGAGCGCAATTACTTAAGTAACATCACAATCAAATTGCTTTCCATGCCCCACCTTCTTCTGAGCTACATGCAGAATAAGGAAGCTAACATTTTGATTAGTCACTTACAAGCCACAGGACAAGTAAGTCTTTAAACAATAAGGCTGCTGTTCAATGAAGACTAAATCACTGTTTCAATGAGTTTTAACTAAAGATCTTACTCCTTGAACAGTTTTACCAGGTCCACAGAAGCCAGACTATTTCCGATTGTATATAAAGTATACACAGCTTCTGTCCGTTTTAGGAAGCAGAGTAGAAACAAAACCAATCATTTATAACCCTAATGGGCCACAGCAGTTTTCAGTGATAACTTTTCTAAATGCTGTAGGCACCCTACAGTTTGAAAGGCATCCTCACGTCCAAGGATCTCCTGTGTAGTCCCTCTTCTTACCTCTACTAGTGTATCCCTTGAAATAACTCAGGACAGTCTAAATGTGAATATAAGTTACAGCAGCTGGAAGATCCTCTTAAAAGACACACTAAAGCACTTTGTGCCCTGGGCCCATTTCTTAGCAGAGACAGGAACAAGGCATCACGCCACATGAACTTGATCTATTCTGTAGACAGAGATTGGTGGCATTTTTTCCTCTTCATTTTGATATGCTTTGATGAGCTTTCACTCAGTAAATTCAGCTCACAGTTCTTGTTTAGGAAACATTTGTGTGTCAGGATAGACCTTTTCCTAATGAATACACTGGCTCATAACTTTTCCATATCCTGATAATTGTATTTAACCAAAAGAAACTGCTTTCAGATTTTGTTTCTCTTTGCTTCTCACTGTCACAGTTCAAACAGTTTTCTTCCCATTTTCTATAACACACATTAGCAGGTCACACTGGAATGCTCAGCCAGAGACAACCACTACTCTAACAGAAGAATATTACTTCTGGACAAAGAAAAGGCAGCAGCTGTTTGATCACACCTGTATTTTAAATTGAGCCTTTTCACTGCATCTCAGCCAGGAAAGTAGAAGCAGACAATTCAGAAGTAAAAAAAAAAAACCCAAAACAAAACACAACAGAAAGCCATCAAAGGAAACCATTATCATCTGAATACTCAGATCACAAGTCTCCATTTTTCTTCTAATTTTATTCTCCAGCTAACTGCTAGCAGTATGAGGTCAAGAATACCATCTCTGGAAAAACTGCTGTATTAGCTGAAAGAACACAGCTTGCTCAATCTTTATAACTTACAGAGTGAAGAATTTTTAACTTAGAATTTCAGAAAAAAGATAATTGTTGCCTAAATTATTTTTAGATCCACACATAATCATCAAAAGAAGTCAGCTGTTCTCTCTACAGAGTCTGCAAGTATTCCCCATCTACAGTTTTAGTCTAAAGAAACAAAGATAATGAAAACCAAACATACTTCTAAAGGACATGAAATGGGGCTTACATACCTTCAAATCTGGAATATTGAACTTTGAATTAGTAGAAAGATTGTTATTTTTTGTAGTTGCTGCATGTAGTTTCTCCCATGTCTGTTGACAGGTTTTTTCCCCAGGAGCAGAAATCAGCCAAAACTCGGTCATCTTTGTGTCTTTATCTTGACGCTTTCTGCTTCTGAATACAGAGGCAAGATGCTAGTAGAAGGGAAGCAAGGCAGGGCACGGGGGAGGAAGAAAGAATATCTGCCATTAGTTCAGGATTCAAAGCTTTGCCTGAAGAAAAACATCTCATTCCGTGTTACTAAAGTGCAGTTCCAGCCACCGCAAGAGATTTTATCAAGAGCATCACGTGGTTCCAAATTCATTTTTTCCTATCTTCCAAATCACATTTGCACAGTTGGGAAGTCTTTTTCAACTGCCCATCCTGCAAGTTAAAGTGTGCTGAGTTTGCAACATTAGCATCTTTCAACCGCAATTCCACAAAAGATTATAAGCAAACAATCTAACTGAAAATAAATCCAATAAAACAGGACCCAAATAATATTTTCACAGCTGTATATATTTTCCAGCATCTGTACAACAGAAAACATAAGAGGAAAAAAAAAAGCCACAAATTTCAACTCTGACGTTACAGCTTTTCCAATCACTTTTCAGATTAGGACAGTGTTTTAAAGCGAGTAAATGCCTAAAAAATATTTAAATGCGATAAGCTTTAGTTTATTCTTTCATTCAAAGAAGATTCTCCTGGAGCTAAAAATTTCAACAAAAAGGAGAACACTTTCTAGTCTTGGTATCTCTGTTGTCACTGCAGACCTTCAATAATGTTACGCATACTGGCATTAGTCAAGAGAGTATCGGTACTAAATACAAATTATGTTGAGCTACTTTGCAAACGAGCTCAAGAAGTTAAGAGTATATATGTTCTTCTGTCACTAAGAAATAGAAGCTGGTTGAGAGTTACTGGATGTTTTTAATAAGAGAGTGAAGAACAAAATCAAAGCGTACCTTGACAGAGTCTGAATGTCAAATTTTGATATTTGCAATGTCTTCTGTAGCAGCTTTGAAAGAGTAGAGACTAACCTACATTTTACAATGAGCACAGACTAGAGCGCTCAATTTTTTTTGAGCAAGAGAATCAAATATTGCATTTGTAAGAATTAATACACAGTAGCAAACTTTGCCCAAAATAACACACATAGGTCCTTCATCTGTGTAATCATTCTAGGGTCAACAAGTTATCAAGGGCGTTGAAGTTGAAAATGAACTAAAGAAAGGCCTGTGAGCTGATTTTTTTGTTCAGCTACTCAGGAAGCCTAAAGCTGAAGAAAGTTTACCAACCGTTAAATTAATATCATGAAGCACGTCTTGTCACTGGCATAACAGCCATCCTCCTTCAATTAAGGGGCCTTTTTTCTAACAAGGGATGATGACATCCAGTTATCGAGGCTCCTGATACCCCACACTCCATGATGTCTGACACTGCATTACCAGGTAGTAGCACAGCAGTGCTAGAATGCTAAATACAGACAATGCCAAGGCAGGTACAGATATTTGAGAAATCAGAATATTTACAAGACCAGACACATGTCCCAGCCCCCACACAAGCTTGTCCAGCCTGACCCAGCCCAGTTCTGGGCACTCTCCTGTGCTGGGGCCACACACCTGCCCAGCTGGTTCTATTCAACAGCAGAAAGTCGAGGACCTGAAAGTTACCTGTTCTCTCCTCACTGGCACTACTCTCTCTTCCCCCCTAACAATTTGCCAAAGCAGGCTGGAAGAAGGGATAAGGGGTTCTTTGCTTCTGGAAATAGTATGGGTGAGAAAAGGGGTCCTATCTCCGAGAAGGACGGGTGAAAAGACTGGGTCTGCTTCCTCCCCCGTGCTGTGGCCTTGACTGTTGGGGGAAAGTCTACGAGAGCAGAATCAGAGAGTGGGTGAAACCCATGCCAACAGCCCCTCAGGCACCACTGGCCCCTCATGCTCCAAAGTGCATACTGTTAACATTCCTTGGTCATACCATACTGATGATTTTGGTATCAGGAGGTATCATGAAAAATTAAAGCAACATCAGTCATCACCATGTTACACAGCTTCTTTGTTTAGGGAAGCACCGACTGGATTATCTCACGTAACAGGCCTCCACGGGACGTCTATTAATTATCAACAGTTTGGAATGAAACAAAATTTCCCCTTATTCAGACTACTTCAATGCATCATCTTAACACATGTCAAACTCTGTGAATCCATTGCACATAATGTTTTCCTACCCTTCACTAAACTCTGGCCCTATAAAAGACACAGCCAAGTTTACAGTAAACTTCACTCATGCGGGGAGCCACTACAGCTGACACGCACAAAGTGCTTAAGCTTTAAATTGGTTTTTGTTTGGATTTGACTAGGCTAGGACTAGAAGAGGCTTTGGTATAAATGTTGGATAAACAAACTAGTTTAGGTGGTAGTGGCAGAAGCCTGCAAATACCCAAATAAAAGACAGAAGACATAGAAATCCAGAATCAGATTCAGTAAGACAGATGGAACATTGCATTCTCATGCTTTCCACTAAAACATAAATAGCCCCTAAAGAATATGTATAAAGTTTCCAGAGATTATATCACCTAAGGAAACAGTTACATGTTTACAATGACACAGTCTCATTCCCTGTATTACAGATTAGGAAAATCAGCTCACCATTAAAAATCTAAGCATCTTTTCCCAGGAAAAAAAAATAATAAATCTTTGACAGACACATTGCAAAGAGTAATTGCTTTCAATAAGTAGAGTTTTCCAATCTTTTAAAGTTAGTTTTCAAAGACCAAATGTTCAGACTTCATATGATGACTACAAGTCTATCATAAACAAGTCTGAAATTACAAACACCTGACAGACTTGCAGCTTTTCATGCTTAAAACCCAATGAACTAGAGCACTTCATGATTCCTTAATATCAGAGGCAAAAAATGGATTGTTCAACTGAATAACCAGGGTCTTTTTCTACTGCTCAAATTGAAGAGGCACAGGTGGAACAGCTGTAGCTCCCAGGAATCATTAAACTAGCAGACCTCTCTTCTCTTCCTCCCTCACTGTTTTTGTCTGTGTGGTTGGTTTTCCTGAAGCTCTGTTTCATTTCTAATAGCCATGGGAAGTAACATGTTTCCCTATTTCATGTACCCACTCAATAGAGATATTGTCAAATACATACAAGGAAAAAAGCCTGGTAGAAGAGTTTTAAATGTTTGTATGTTTGTTTTACGTGATGGAAGATGGAGTTTGAAATCAGAACTATGGGGAATACCGAACAAGAAGTGAAGAAAGGAGAAGTGCTACAGAATGGTAAGAAAAACAAAAAAATGCTAGTCAGACAAAAATTACATACTGACCCACTGTAAAATGAAAGCCATGAAATTTAAAGAGAAGGACCACAGAATAAAGCAGGAGATACTAAGCGTTCAAATAAAATCCAGAATAAGCAATAAGAATGGACAAGTGAACTGTTGTTTACACTGTGTGCCTCGATGACCAGCACTTTTTTTGCAATGTACTGTTGAGTAGAATTTGTCATAGCATAGTTTCATTTAATCAGTCAGCTATTTTTGTTATTTCAATTTTCTGATGTATGTTTTTAAGAGAAGAAATATTCATAAATGGATATCCGCATACATAAATGGAATTGTCTACAACACGTAAATCTATCAATTTAAAAACATTCAATACTATAGCATAAGTACAGTTAATCAAGCTAACGCTTTCAAGGTGGTGGTTTTTTCCTGAACATTGTCCATGCAGTATCCTACCACACTATGATATTAAGTGAGTAGAAATTATGGTCCTAGTTCTACTGAATGCGGGTAAAGCCACCTGTCAAGGAGTGAAACTGCTTCTGAGATGCCATTGTAAGCATTTTCTGGCCAACTTCAGCAAAAACTGTTTGCTATACAACTGTACAAAGAAAAAAAAGTCTGGAAAATGAAAAACAAAGTTTATACAAGAATCTCTCTACAGACCATGCTGAAGCAAAGTTCAGGACTTCCAGGAACAGGTTCTGGAAATCCAACTTTACATACAGCACTGAGCTAGCTACCTTGATATTTACGATTCCACAAGTCATGACATTACTATTTCAATAGTGAATGACCAAACCATCCGTATCTCCAAACAAAAAAAAAAAAACCAGAACCTTGCAAGACCAGCAGTCCTTTGACCCATCTTTATCTTGTTCAGTACTCAGGAAGAACGCAAGTTCTCATTTATAAGGGCTTAATACTAGAAATTCATTAGAACACATTTTTCTCATCTTAGATTCAACAACTGGGCAGCATCCCAGTGTTTCCCTTCACACTTTCTCATAAGCATACCCGCAACATAACTCTGAAGTGTAATAGTCTTCCCTGTGCCCTTACAAAGAGATTTAAGTAACACAAACACGTTGCCAGGATGTTCTGCTAATCGAATAAGCACAACTCATCTACAGAATGCTTGAAATATTTCATCCCTTGAAGCTTTCCCCTAGAGCAGCTGGTTTTGAACCCTAACTGCTCTAATGCCTGAAATAAATTTGATACATTATTTAAAATGTATTTTGCATTACTCCCCGTAATTTATACTGCTTAATTTCTATGTTATTAGGAAAAATTGATTTCCAAAGAAAAATCCTTCATGCAGTATACCATACTATAATCTAAGCAATGAAACCGCTAAACGGTTGCTTCAGTGCTGTACCTGGAAAAACACAGGTTGATGTCAAAACAGAACCTCAGCTAAGACATTTTGCACTGCATTTTTCAAAAACAGCAGGTCTAGGGGCAGGAGACAGCTGTTTCTTCTTTCCTGTTTCGCTCAGCAGGAAAGCTCGATTTACTAACGTGACTCAGAAGTCTCCCGAAATCCAGCACAAAGTCCCCAAGACGTTGTTTCTTCAAGCTCGCTCTCAGAAACCACCTCTGACGCTCGGCGTTTGGCCCTCACTGCCTCCACGTTTCACAGGCAGAAGCGGCCACAAGGAGGAAGCCAGAGCTACGCCCGGGAAGATTTCACAACGGGGAGCTCGCATGCCCCGTGCAGGGGCAACCCGGGGCTGGCTGGCTGGCACACCGGGCGGGGGGAGCTGGCTTTGCTCTCCCCAGAGCCGCTGATCTGGATCACAGGGATTAGAGGACCGTCCCGGTAACCCGGGCAGGCACCAGCTGCCCCGGCAGCCACCGGCGCCGCCTCCCGCGACGGCGCTTTCCCTCCACCCTCCTCCGCCAGACAAAAACTCCACAGCGGCAACCTCGCCCC